ATGTACTGAAGTGGTAGGAGTGGGGTCTAGAAAATTAAACAACAAGCAAATTATAAGATCGTTACAAACTGAATTTAGGCAATTTATTAATCATTAAGTCGTTAGGAACAGAGCAACCAAAATTTTTTGTTCAAAACGAAGTTACACAAAATCAAAAAGCGTAATTTATCTCAGAACTGATGAAGTTTATTTTAACAATTTTATTACAACATAATCAGAAAAATGCATTAATGCATATAAAATTTTCGAAATGCATAAATTGTACAACTGTGATCGCTCACTTAGTAACAAAAAACAATATATCATTATGGATTTTTATTGCCAGTACCCATAAATTTCAAAAAAATTTATTATAATCCATTAAAAATTGATTATGATATTACTATTTTTTGAAACATTAATATTTTTTACAATCGATTATAATCGATTAATCTGTGAAATTTTTTGAAATAGTTTTTATTGAAATGTAAACCATTATAATCGATTATAATCCAATATTATTCAACAAATGTCATCGCTTCTTTTGGTTTTATTTTGTTTTGTTATGTGTGCTCGTCAGCTGGTTACCGAACTGAAAGTAACTGTAATTTTGTACTTATAGCCAGGGGCGGATTTGAGGGGTGCGAACCCCTGCCGACCCAAAGGGTCCTCCTTTGATTTATCTCGAGATATCCATTTTCGGTGACGGAGCCTTAAAATTTTTTAAAGGTGCCTTAGTAAAATTTTGTGCGCCGCAGGCAAATTTTTGGAAAAACAGGCAAAGCAACGCAACTTTTTGGTCATAGTTTTCCATAAAGTGCCTAAAAACGCCTTTTTTGGCCTGTTTTTTCAAACTTTTCCATGCGCCGCAGAAAGTTTGTCAGAAACAGGGAACAGGGTCTTTTCAGTGCTTTGAGAGAGCTCGGAAAATCAATCTGGTCGATCGAAAAAAAATTGACAAATCTTATAGCGTTTTCTGAAAATCCGCCCCTCAAGAATATCCGCCCCTGCTTATTGCTTAAAACTTAAATTGAATTTAATTTTTTTTGTGTTTTCATGCAAAATAATTTTAATATTCCATCATAATTGATTTTTTTGTAAGATAATTTTTTGATTGAAAAAGGGATTATATAATCTATTATAATAGATTATAAAAGATTATAAGAGATTTTCGGAAAAATTATAATTAATTATAAATTATTATAATTGATTAAAATTTCACCAAAAATATTATCATTATAATGGATTATAAACCGTTTATACATATAAAATTGGCGCTTATAATTAATTATAAGTTTGCTAAAAGTACGATTATAATTATAAAATAATCAATTATTTTCTCTTTTTACTGAGTGCGGGGTATTTAAAACACATTTTCCGGTCGGACAAACAGTATTTGCTAAAAGGATAACTGAAGTCTGTAAACAATTTGCACGCACTTTGCACGCAATAATTGTCTAAAATCAATTCCGGATCGTCTAATTTACTTTTTGTCCATGTTTCCAAGCACCGCTGTTTATATCAGATCTCAGAAATTTCTGATTACTTTTTTCAAAATTGTCTTTTCTACTACATAAACAATTTTTCCCACAAAAAAAAAACAATTTTTCAACGATTTACGCAATTTTACGGAGATGGTAAGTTTTCTTAGACTATCTAAGCGGGTGATTTTGATTTAATTTTATTAGTAATTGACTCGTCAGAATTGACGTAATTTTGATAGAATAAGAAAAAAAATTTGATTTATTTTTGTGGTAATGAATTGTGTGTGACTTATGCAAAACAAATTCCATCATAAAAATTGAGAAGAATGAATTGATAATTTTCAAGTTCAAGCGTTTTTTCAGGTTATTTTATACAGCACTGTAGTAAATCAGGCCTCAGAGCAGAAAATTTTATAGAGCAAAAGATACAGCAGAACTTTCAATCATGCGTGAAGTTTTATCGATTTTCTCAAAAATCTTTTTAAAACTATAAAACGAAAGCGGAGATGCTCTTCTTGACTAAACTTTTAATAACAAATGCTTTTTCAGAATACCAGTTATGCATCAAACCACGACTCTTTTATTCTACTACTTTGCTATCTGTAGGAGTTCTGCTCGTTTTTCAATTTGAATTTCGCATTTTGACAAGTAATGAGAGTTGTTATTTTTTGTAATAAACGGGTGAATAATGAAAACTTACTTGGAGCAAAAAATCAGCTGATTTTTTTTCGAGCAAAAATACCTTGCTCTATATAGAAGCAGAACTGTTTGGAGCTTGGTAAAAAATATTGGGGCTATTCTCATGCGTGAAGGGCAGAGAGTGCCTTTTCAAATTCTCAACCAATCAACGCCCTATAAAACTGCAACAAACTGATTGAGCTTTTTTTGATCGACGAAATTTGTTTTTTTTGCGCATTAGCGATTACCCCTAAAAATTTTTAAATAGAAATATTAGATTTTTTGGAATAAATAAAAAAAATGAAATAACGTTTTTTTTTTCAATGCCAGCAGAAGAAGAGAGTTTTGAATCGGTTTTAGCAGTTAAAACATTGGCAGGTCTACAACAGCCTTCAGCATAAAAGCGTAGAAGGTAGCCTAAATTAACTATTTGACAAGAGTTTGAACAAAAGTTCATGATAAAATGAAAACAGGCGATCATTGATCACAAGAAAAAACATGGTAGGTTCGCTCGTGCACCAAAAACTTTCAAAAAACTTTGAACTGTGTAAAATGAGAACACGAATTTCGAAAAACAAAAATTGAGCACATCATTTGCGGCAGCTACATTTTTTTAGTAGACATGCTTCTGAAAAACTAACATTTTATTGGAAAGATGCTGATCAAAAAGTCATTAGCACTAAAAAAACCTTGTGGGCTTTAAGCCTTAGAAAACCTTTCAGCCTTTTTAAACGCGGTAACTGTTTTCATTAGCAATTTACTTTGAGCTTTTTAAACTTGAAAATTGTTCCTGGCAGCTATCTTATTTTATATTAGCCAAGTCTTCTTAATTACTAAAAAATTTCAGATCAGTTGCTGATTAAAAACTGTTTTAGCGCTTAGAAAATCTTTTTAGGCTTTTATGCTTAAGAAAAACCTGTTAGCTTTCTTTGAACGCTTTTAAGGTAGACTAAATCAACAATTTGACGAGCGTTCAAATACGGTTCATGATAAATTGAATGCAGGCTATGTATGATAACATGAAACAAAATGAGCACATTTGCTCGTATCAAAAATTTTTCAAAAAAACGTTGTTTCTGAGATTATCCGGATCCGAATTGAGTTTTTTCAGATGAGTCCGTGATTGGTGTCTAACAAAAAAACTAGCGTTAGCCAAAATCTATCTGCGACTGGCTTGGCCGAACAGAGCTCGCGGTGATAGTCCCTAGTTCCAAGGTGCATAAATTATTTTTTTATAGCAACTTAATATATTTTTAGCCATATTAAGGAAGCAGACAATCAGCGCAAAATGCAGGATTCAAAGAGTAATCACTTTTTCTAAAATTGATTGCTCTCTAACTCATGTATTTTGCGCTGATTGTCTGGCTAATTGTGGTTAATATCAAACCGTTGTTGTGCCGCCAATTTTTTAATTTGAAGACGGTTTCGACTACATTTTTGGACGGTGTAAAATGAGAACACGAATTTCGAAACATCTGAGTCTGTGCAAACACAAATTGAGCACATCATTTTTGGCAGCTACCTTTTTTTAAAAGCCATGCTTCTGAACAACTAACATTTTATCGGAAAGATGCTGATCAAAAAGTCATTACCACTAAAAAAAACTTTGTGGGCTTTTAGCCTTAGAAAACCTTTTAGCCTTTTTAAACGCGGTAACTGTTTTCAATAGCAATTTAGTTTGAAGTTCTTAAGCTTGAAAGTTGTTGCCGGCAGCTATCTTATTTTATATTTGCCAAGTCTTCTATTTTACTATAAAACTTCAGGGCAGTTGCTGAATGAAAAACTAACATTTTATCGGAAAGATGCTGATCAAAAAGTCATTAGCACTAAAAAAAAACTGTGTGGGCTTTTAGCCTTAGAAAACTTTTTAGCCTTTTTAAACGCGGTAACTGTTTTCAATAGCAATTTAGTTTGAAGTTCTTAAGCTTGAAAGTTGTTGCCGGCAGCTATCTTATTTTATATTCGCCAAGTCTTCTATTTTACTATAAAACTTCAGGGCAGTTGCTGATTGAAAAACTAGCATTTTATCGGAAAGATGCTGATCAAAAAGTCATTAGCACTAAAAAAAACTTTGTGGGCTTTTAGCCTTAGAAAACTTTTAAGCCTTTTTAAACGCGGTAACTGTTTTCAATAGCAATTTAGTTTGAAGTTCTTAAGCTTGAAAGTTGTTGCCGGCAGCTATCTTATTTTATACTAGCCAAGTCTTCTAATTTACTACAAAACTTCAGGGCAGATGCTGATTGAAAAACTAACATTTTATCGGAAAGATGCTGATCAAAAATTCATTAGCACTGAAAAAAAATTTGTGGGCTTTCAGCCTTAGAAAACTTTTTAGCCTTTTTAAATGCGGTAACTGTTTTCAATAGCAATTTAGTTTGAAGTTCTTAAGCTTGAAAGTTGTTGCCGGCAGCTATCTTATTTTATAATAGCCAAGTCTTCTAATTTACTATAAAACTTCAGGGCATTTGCTGATTGAAAAACTAACATTTTATCGGAAAGATGCTGATCAAAAAGTCATTAGCACTAAAAAAAAATTTGTGGGCTTTTAGCCTTAGAAAAACTTTTAGCCTTTTTAAACGCGGTAACTGCTTTCAATAGCAATTTAGTTTGAAGTTCTTAAGCTTGAAAGTTGTTGCCGGCAGCTATATTATTTTATATTAGCCAAGTCTTCTAATTTACTATAAAATTTAAGGGCAGTTGCTGATTCAAAATTGTTTAAGCACTTAGAAAAACTTTTTAGGCTTTTATTCTTAATAAAAACCCTTTAGCCTTTTTTGAACGTGGAAACTGTTTTTAATAGCAATTTAGTTAGAAAATTTTCAGCTCGAAAATAGTTGACTTCTTTTTATTGTGTTTCAGAGTTTCTTCTATTTCGATTTCAAACTGGGCACTGATAAAACCACAAATAGCCTTTAGAGTGATCGAAAGCGCTTCTTGTCGATCACATTTCTGTCATATTTTTTGCAACTAGAGTTTTATCGACCATCAAAAATGAGTTTCAATTCCTCAACTAGTCTGGCTGTGAGTTCGGGGCCGAAGGTGAGCCCCTATGCCAGTTTGGAGTACAGTCCAATGCACTGTATAGCTGTCATGGTGTATACTGCTCTCTCGGGAGTTGTCGGCACTTTCGCGAACTCTTTGATCACAGCTGTCTATATAATGAAACAGATGAAGTGTCCCCACGAAATATTCATGCTGACTGTTGCCGGTAAGCACTTCTTATTTTTCAATCTTCTGCCGTCCCCCAATTTCTAATTTTTTTGGTTTCAAAGCTTTCTTAAGTTGGATTTTCATGAGTGGTTATTTAAATCTATACACAATTGTAGCCATATGTTGTCTGAATCACTAAACCAATCAAACTTGAGCTGATATGATGCCAGGTATGAGAAAAACCGTAAAAAGCAGAGATGCAGGGAAATCTAATTGGTTCCAATTCATTGCAATCAAGTGATTTATTTTTATCGAACATTTTTGATTGAATTGCTAAGTTTAATTGCAACTTTTGATTGCGAACAAAACACAAATGTCAATTAGTTAGAACAAAGCCGTGGCCATGGAAATGAAAAGCAAACAAATAGTTTAAAAAATACTATTCAAAACCTGAACTGCTTACCCAGGCCTTCTTTTTCTGCCCTAGGTCAAGATATGCATTTTCAGGCCAAAATTTGCAAAAATGCATAAACTGCAGTGAACAGTTTTTTCAGCATCAAATTAAAAAATTCACGACTCAATTGTTACTCATGGCTTTGGTAAAAATGATTATTTCTGTACTTTTTGAATTTTGATTCAAACGGAGGGGGCGCCAATAATTTCAAAAACTTCCAAAACTTTCACAAAAATCAAAAATAAATCATTGCGCAGCAGCAGCTCGAACAATTGAGTAAGTGACCTAAAAAAGTGGAGTATGACATTATTAGAAGGTGAGTTGCATAGTTTATCTATACAATGTTGCAGGAATTATTTTCCAAAAACAATGAAGAAGTTTTGTAAACGAATATATATGTAATTGAGACTGCTCGAATATCACCCGGGTTGAGCTCACATTAAAAATTGGCAATAAAAAAGTTAAAAAAAAAGCGATCGCCATTGATGAATTCTCTATGCTCAATGCCACAATAGCAAATTTTATTGATAGATTATCGCTAATTTAGCTAACTTTCAGCGATGAAACAGCGATAAAAAACTTATCAAAATGAGCAAAAATATTGAAAAACCTTTGGTTCGAACCCGCAGTTTCGTAGACTTATATGCTACCTCTGCGCTACCAGCCCTTAAACAACCCTTAGCAATACTCAAGTTGGCTTATAAACTCATACACTCATTTAAAAGCTACTAGTATGAGTTAAAAATTTGAGTTGAAGTCTTAGCGCTGATTTTCTACGGATTCATAACTGAAAGAGCTCTAAAACATCGCTATGCAAAAATTTCTGAATCACACATGAATCAGGCTGGCAAATTAGCGATCACTGGAATATGACAGGAAAGCGATAATTAGCGGTGGGACTTCAACCCGGGCAGTGCAAAGCCCTGACTGTTCCGAACTTTTTCGAAACAGCAGGTTTTGAGTTGTTTGTTTCGTACAATTTCGAACAATTTTAACAGTAGGATAAGTTTCTACGCTTTAAACTTTTGCTGTACTCTTTCGTATAAATAAATTCATAAAATGGCAAATATAAAATTTTATTACCACGAGAGCTTTTAACTAAAGTATTCATCTGAAGTCAATGAGTCGACTTCTTTAATAGCTTATAAACTTTTTGTTGAAAAATTTACTTTGATCCCCCTGCGGGTCCCAACATTCCAAAAAACGCCGAGCGTATATACTTTATATTTTTTCAAACCTGAACAAAAGAAGAAAAAAAAGATCAAATAGTTAAAAAATAAAACTTTGATTTTTCCGTTATCTTTCTTAATTTTAAACCCCCCCCCCCCCCACACACACACACACAGTCTATATAAATAAACCAAATTGATGCATTTTTGTGTGGTAATTTTTTCATAAGATCAAACTGCTTGCGTCATTTCAATTTAAAATGATGTATTTTGCCGCTTGCGTTTTATTTCGACGTAATATGTCGCCGCATTCATTATCTTAAATTGGCAGTATTCGAACTCCCATAACTTTACAAAAAAATTTTTCAGATATCTTTTTTTTAATTTTGAGCTCAGGGCATCAGTAGTTTTCAAATCCCGATATAATTGGCTAGTTAAAAATCGAATTTTGTCTGATGAAAACATTATGGCGCCAAACTCGGTTAGATTTGTACTATGGTTTGGATTCTACAGACTTTGTCACTTTTCCCCACAAAAATTCAACCGAAGTCAGCTATAAAATTACTAACCCATGTAAAAGATGTGTCCAAGGAATCCAGACACGAGCTAGCACAATTATTTGCTGTTATAAAACCGAGTTTGACGTCATAATGAAAAAACATGGGGTGAATAATTATCTCGACACTCTCTTCGAAAGTCCTGAAAAAATTCGTACCAAGCTCAATTACTAATCAGCAATTCCAAAATTCGAATATAAATATTCGTGTTTTTCAGGAATAAATTTGTTTGGCTCTTGCGTCTTCATTCCATGGGAGATCATTGTCGTGTGGTCGGGGAGTCATTCCTGCAACAACCCCCCGAACTACATAATCATTTTCAGCATGTTCCTCGAATGCGCGTCCGCCCTTCTATTTCTGAGCATAGCGCTGGACCGATACTTCGCAATTTGCTGGGCAACTCATTATATAATGAATCCAAAGAAAGCTATGTTCTTGAGCGGCGGTTCGATTCTCTTGTCGGTCGTTTTGTCTTTGGTTACCGTTGTCCACACAAAATTAATCTACCTTCCTCATCTTATTTATCCGCTAGTTCTTTTCCTGGTTTTGGGCATTATTATTATCCTCTATCTTCTCGTCTTCAGAAAAGTTAACAAGCAGGCTAAAAAAGCGCGTGAACAAAGATTGAAGAAACAAGAAATCATGCAGCGCAGTCAGATTTCACGCGCTGAAAGCAACAATCAAAATGAAGAGCACGACGACAACACGAAAAACGTGAAATTTTCGGAAAAGACCAAAAAATTGGATCCACATTTGAAAATTGAGACTCCAAATTTGCGAGGTGTGAACGGAAGTGCGAAAAGTGGTGATCAAAACGCAGCAAATGTCGGCAAGGAAAAACACATTATGGAAGAAATGCGTGACAAAACTGTTAAAATTCTCATCAGCGTCACGCTTGTGTATATTTTCTGTTTCGTTCCCGCCTCCATTGTCAATTTCCTATTTTTCGTAATACCCGAACACTTCGCCGGAATGTCGGGAGGCAGCGCCATGGTCGTCAAAACTGTTCAACTCGGCTACTACCTCAACTTCGCCCTGTCGCCGATTGTTTACGCAGCGCTCAGCGGGAGGTTTCGCGAAGACACCCGCGTCATTATTCTGAAGCGACAACCAAAGTCAGTCGTGCAGGAAAGGAAACTTACTATGGTCACGCGTGAAGCCGAAGTCTAATTTATGGGAAAAAATTAAAGGTGGAAACTAAATACTAAAAGCTTTCAGTTAGAACTCAGAAAACGCAGAGCTAAATTAAAAACAGATCGCATTAAAAAACAGAGGTATTTTCGATTGTACACCCCCCACCAATGATGAAATGTCGAAATCAAAATTATAACTGCAAAAGTTAATCGACATTACAAAGAAGTGCTGGCTTTCAATTTGGTGCAGGCCTAAACGAAGCTATTTGTCTAGTTTAGCCTGAAACAGGTCCTTTTCCCTTGTTTTGTTGCCGTTTTATAAATTTCTTGTATAAATTCCTTTTATAAATTTCACTCAAATATGAGTCCAAATGCGGGTGGGATTGGATATAATCGAAAAAAGCCAAAATACAGATAGCTTTTTCAATGACATTACTTATTAAAAAATCATAAATATGTTATTAGCTTACTATCTTTCTCCGCATGTACTGGTATTCCTTGAATTTATAAAGGTAAACCTTCTTTATAGATCTTCTACGAATAGCAGAAACCTCAATTATTATGTTTTTATAGGCTGTACCTACAAATGCTAAGAAAGGCGATCAACAATTCCAAATTACAACAGTACCGAAACTGAAAAAGTATCCAATATTTCCGAAAAATGGTGATTTTTGACAATGTCAAACATATTTTTCGGGCTCTGTTGTACTTCGGCGTTGTTGTATTGCCTCATAAAATTTCTAAAAGCCCGGTGAAAAGATATATGTAGTTTCAAGATAGTGCTTTAAGGTTCAGGGAAAGATTGTATTTTAGATAAAACCATTGTGTTGGTTGGAACATTTGATTTCTTTCATCTTTAAAAATGATGTCGCACTAAGATGCCCTTCCCTCCCTTTTTATGTTTTCACTGTTGAATGTTTTTATAGTTGAACAAAAACTGTTGGCTATTGATTACGTAACCAAGCAAAACCTGTCTGAAAACATATTTAAAACGTACCAAGCTAAACGTCTGAAAGCAAGCCTAAAACACGCCAAGCAAAACATGCCTAATGGTTGAACAAAGTTTGTCTGCAATTGGCTATGTAACCACAGTTTCCATTTCCTCGATTTTCTTACAGTTAATAATTATTTATGCTTGATGTGAAATAATTTTTTTTGATAAGTTTGCAGACAAAATTGAATTGATTAAATTGTTATCAGCCCTAATACATTCGTATCAAACAACTGAACAAGAAAGTTGAAGTTTGATTTTGCCATAGTAGTAATGATGAGAAACAGTTGCTTCCTTGTTAACATTTAACTCAAAATCCAAGACTTTAAGACTGGTGCTTATAATTGATGTGATGTTTAGTAAAAAAAAAAAACTTTATTCATAAGAAGATAGCTATTTGATAACTCCGTGTTTTAACTCAAATTCATTGTTAATCCTATCTGTAAGCTGTATTTTTTGAAGAGTAGTTATTTTTTACTTTGGTGTTAGCCTGCAAGTAAATAGAATTTTTGCTGGGTGTTGAAACCCTAATATTTCAAAGCATGCTTGAAGTGCATTTTTTCATTCAATAATCGAATTCATTTTTCAAACTCAACAATTTATGTGAATTAAATCTTTGTATCAAATACTGTTTTCGAATTTTTAGTGATGCAAATAGACGTTTCGATAAAGTTCTACATGTAATTTTGACCCGCAGTAAGCGGCTTCAAGCTGCCAAATTACCATAGGCTGGGCTGATAAATCCCCTTATCTGCAAAGGAGCAAAAAATTGAAAATTTGTCTTCCATAGAGTTTCACTTTTAAAAAACTTGAAGGAAATAATCGATACCATCAAATCAGTCAGCTTTGGATAAAGTACAGGACATTGGTTAGTTTATTATATGAACCATGGCGTTGGGTCAAAATTGTGGTAACCATCGTTAATCTCTTTCAGAAATTGTAGTAAGCTCCGCCAATAACTGTCAATTCAATCATCGAATTCTTTCCGGATATTATCGTCATTTCCATCACAATTGAGACGAATGATCTTCATTACAAGTAATAAAAGGAAGAAACATTCAACTCAGCGTCAAAATAAAATACGGCAGCTAGACCAAAGACGGAATTAGATCTCTTCTCAAAAGAGGGTTATTCACATGCATGGGGAACTTAATGCGCAATAACTCTCAATTAATCAATAAATCTCAAAAATTGTCGCGCTTTTTATCCTTCCAGCATGAGTGATTTCCCCTTCGTAGAAGTTAACACAGGCCAGCTACCTTATCAATTGAAGCAAAATTATATATGAATGCTCCTCAAACTCTGTCATTTCGAAAATGTCCAGTAGGAAATTTTTAAGTTTGTTCGGTTTTTCGAGAAAAATTGAAGTACTTTTTCAAAATAACTACATAATGGTGCTCAAGATGACTTTGAATAAAATTGAACATGATCGACCACAAATGGTGGTCGTTAAATAGTCACAAAACAACCAGAACTGAGAATGCTTCATACCGAAAAGTTGGAACCAAGCGTAGACGGAACATTCGCATTTCGTGTATTTTGTGAAGAATCAGCAACACCACTTTGAAAACAGATTTGTCTCAGAACCCGCTACATGGCTTTATTTCTTTGATCTTTTTGCTGTTTTTGATTCCACTAACAAACAGCTAAAACACTGTATTATTCAGAATTGCCGCAAAAGGAGCTAATTTGGCATAATCCGGACAAAATTTGCGGAACCCAGTACCGTTTAAGGAATCCAAATCAAATCCGTATTCATTATAATAGAATTTCCAGTTTTGCTAAATCAACCAACGTATGGGTGATCTGCTTAAAAAATACAATTTTTAGTTATATCACTAAATCATACATAACAGTTTTTACAAAATGGACGCTTGCATGTGCGAATTTTACTCAGAGTTAGCGAAATCTGCTCACATTTGCGGAATCCAGAAGTATAGTGCTGATTTAAACTAACCGGGCAAAACGCGATAAACTTGAAATTTAAAACCCGTTTTTCTCAAATTGGGTTGAGTTTAGATGAAAATTTATGAAGACAAAACTTGCTTAAAATTTTAGCAGAATTAATATGGTGTAATTTGTTTTGCGAAATTCGGGCCCGAAATTTTACCTCAAAAATCGACTGGGTAATTTTGGCTTAAATTTTGGTTAACTAAGGAAAGCCAAAATGACCCATTTTTTGGGGTAAAATATCGGGCCCGAATTTCGCAAATCAAATTACACCAAATTAATTCTGCTAAAATTTTAAGCAAGTTTTGTTTTTTATAAGTTTTCACCTAAACTTAACCCAATTTGAGAAAAACGGGTTTTAATTTTGAAGTTTAACGCGTTTTGTCCGGTTAATTTAAATCAGCACTGTACTAGCTATATTCGCTCGTTCAGAATCTGCCATATAACTAATATGCCATGCAATTTTGTTAGAGGAATCCACATAATTTTTGGAGCCTCTCTAAACAAAAGACTCTGAAATCCAGAGACCTACGCACACAAATTGATGCACCTATCTAGTACATGGTTTGGCTTAGTTTTGTACAATCGGCATAAACGTAAAACTTATTCATTCCATACGCTCAAAAGCCTAATGAAATCTCTATGATAACTATTTTCTTGTGAAAGTTTTATGACTAACCTTTTTTTGCATGAATCAAAAATATGAATATAATTTTGTCTCTAACGGCAAAAAAACAATTTAAGAAAAGATTTTTTTCAAATAAGAAAACCCTCAGGTCAAGTGACATTAACTTTGCAAGCAACAATTATCACGGTCAATTTTTTTCCGAGACTAAACGGAAGAAAAATTTCCTTCAATTCAACATTTTCAGCTTTCACTTTTTAACTCTGCAAACAATGCGTCCATACGTTTTAATTATTTGAAAACCGCATAATAAACAATGTTTGCATAGAATTTATGTATATAATTTTATGGAAAGCATTTTTTGTGTATAGATTTGCGACGGGTACGCATGCGTTAAACTCTCTCAAATATGGCGAGAGACACAAGCTTTACTAACTAACCACCATAATGGAATGAATAACAACTTCGTCTTCACCTAAAATCGAATAGAAACTTTAAATGTTTTTTTAAGGCCAAGAAAGGGAAAAAATCCTAGAAAACTTTTGGGAGAAACAAATATCCCGACTTTTTTTAAAAGTCGGAACAAATGAGGAATGCGGCAAATTCGAGGAATTTTTTTATTTCAAAAACTTCTATACGGAAGTTCAAATGTATCATCTTCGGTGCATAATGGACCAAGGGACCATCTTTTTCGAAGAAGTGACAAAAAAAACGTGGAAAAAATATTTCTGAGACAGGTGACAACCAAAGAAATTCAACAGGTTTTGGAAAGCTTGCAAAAAAATCAACCTAGATTGCCACTATACCAAGAAAAATTACATATTTCTAATAGGAGAACTATTGGAGCCTATTCTGACTACTTTGATTCAAAAACGATTTGACAATAACATTTTTCCGAAACCATTAAAAACTGCAAAAGGATCCCTTAATATAAAGAAGGAAATGAACTCGAACCTTTCAATTTTTATACAAATTTCAGTTATACCCGTTTTGGGCAAATTGCTAAACTGATTAATTTACAACCGAATTTAAGATTTTGTCACTTCACTTGATCATTTATACGAGCTCTTAAGACTCCTTTGTAAAGTTATTTGTGGTGAAAGTGACAGTGTGACTTTCAGCCAACTAATTACGTCAGTTGAACTCTTCAAACTGCGAAATTATCCTGAAAGAGTAGAGAAATTAGGGATCAACACTAAAAAACACCATTAGTTTTCAATTGTTACCAGAATTGGAAACTTCTTCAACTGTCTCAGACACCGAATTATGACACGGAATTAGTTTAACAGCTTTCTCCATAAGGTTCTACAAACTACAACAACAGGACATAATGAGTTGTTCAAATTATTACTCTGATTTTTTTCGCATAAAATCAGCGTTATCCATTGTCTACATTCTCAACAAAAGTTTCAATTTTCTAACTAATTTTTTTAAGTTTAGTTCATTTAGTTTCAAAAATTGTGTATCGTAATAAAAAATAAAGGTTTTATTATACCACCATCCTGACTGAAACTTTTTTTAGCGCTCAGAGACGTTTGAAAACAGGCATAATTTGCCTAACGATAGAAAACTGGGTTTTATCTTTATTTCCATTAAATAAACCAAGGAATACACAACTATTCAGCTATTTTCTATAATTAGATTACTTATTTTTAGTATTGTTTCCTTTGAAGAAACAGTTGTTCAACCAGTCATCTCGTTTGTTTTTATCATTATCTTCACAAAAAGGATTTCCAGTTAGATAATTTATCTGAATTGAAAAAAGAATATCAGATTTAATTTCCCTTGAAATAAAAAGAAATGCGGAAAATGTGCGCTTTTAACCACTCATTTAGCCTTTTACGATTGTTTTTTCCCTTCATCGCAAGTATTAAAAGTCATGAACTGTTTCAGCAAGGGAAATGAAAAAAAAATAGTGATGGTAAAGCTCACACGTTAAATTAAAACTGAATTAGTTTAATTCGTAGCCCAATTGAGGTAGAGTACTACGAGTTCACTATAAAAAATAAAGTGACAGAGCATTCGGAAATTGAACTGGTAGTAATTATAAATAAATAAGATTGTGAATTGA